GCCACCTCCTCTTCTCCTCTCTTAGCATTGCTGACTTTCTCTCCTTGTGAACTAGAAGAGATGACACAACTGTGCCCAAATCAGGACATTCCCCACCCCCCAGCCTGCTCCTGCACCCATATCTGGAGCTGGGAGTCAGATCTCCCAGTGGAAGATCAAGTGCATGTTTGCTTACAGCAGAGTGAGGAATAGCTCAATCTGTCACCCAGAGCTTTTTGAAAAGAGCAAGAAACTGAACTCAAGAGACATTCTACCACCACCAACTCTAAGGGATTAAATAAATTCTTTTGGCTTTCTGGAATCTCACATTAAATATTCTTGGAAATAAGTAGGCCATAGGCTAATGCTAAGAAATCCTTCATAATAAAGATACTCAGTTTGTAATGTAACTGTTGTTATAGGATTTGACCTGAATAGAAAAAGAAACTAAACAGAGCTTTCTCAACAGAGCTCTTTGAGGGTGGATGGTGGAAATCCCCAGAAGAAACAGCAACTCTCTAATAAAACTTTAAAGACCTCCACCCCTCCCATAAGAAGTTCTTGCTGTAAAAAAAAAAAAAAAACATACAGAAAAAAACACTGTGGGATGTAAAAGAAGTACCTGGATTTCAGAGCCAAAAGGACCAGAGTCCACATCCTAACTGATCCTCTACTTTATTGTATGTCCTTAAAAGAGCTCAGCATAACTTCTAAGACTCAATGTTCTCATCTTCAAAATGGGAAGAGAGGAGCCCACACTTACAGTTACTGTGAGGAGTAAGAAATCTGCAGAATCTTAGCATATAGGAAGTTCCCAAGTTAGTCTTGCCCTCTTCTCCTTGGAGACTAGTATTTTTAATTTAATTTTCTGAACATCTTAGGATTTAGTTTTGTAGTTCCTTCTATAAAAAAGATTGTCCCTTTTGGCCCATAGGCATGGTAGAAAGATTCCTGGAAAGAGAACCAGAGGACCTTGCTTCTGCTACTTACAAATGAGACCTTCCTGGTCCTGTCTCCTGGCCTGTACCCCGAGAGTGATTATAAGAATTCACTGAGGGAATTATGAAGCACTTTGAAAATCAGGGGGTGCTCTAAGATGAAAGTGCTATATGCAGCTCAGAGACAGGCATCTGCATTTATCTACCTGTGAGGACTCCAGACAGTAGAGATCTGGTCTCATGTGAGGCATGCCAGAGAAAACAAAACTCCAGAAAGAGAGAGAGGAACGGGCTGCAGAAGTGGAGTTCAGGGGATTTGGTGAAAAGTCCAAGTTCAATAGTATTGGTGGGTGTGGTCTCTGATCAATTAGAAATAAAGATAGTTGTCCACTCATCCACAGCCATTCCTCAGATCCTGTCTGAAACTCACAGTGCCCACCAAGGGGTCTAGGTAGAGTCCAGAGCAGAGGGAACTAAATGAAGAGAAGAGAGAAATTTTTCCAGGTTTATTCATCCATATGCAAGAAAGACACCACAGATTGAAGATGTGAATATTCCAGTCACAGAGAGGTGGATTGCACTGTGGGACAGAAATCCAGAATAAAGAAGAGGCCAGGACAGCCATCAGGTAACCTTATCCCTCCTCTTTGGTCCTATTATCACCACCAGCAATAACGTAATAATTGCTCTCATTATGAACAACTGTCGTTTCTGAACTCAACAATTTGCCAGGCACTGGGCTAAGAGCTATAGGAAGCTCCTGTCATCTAATCACTATTGCATCCATGCCTGGAATAAACATTATTTCATTATGCCCCACTTTGCAGGTTAGCAAATAGTTACTCCAGTGACCATTTGGGGAAATCTTTAGCCTTAAGGATCCTTAATCTAAATATGAGGGTCAAGAATCTTCCAGTCTCTCAAAAAGGATCTTCCTGGGTGTACATTAATCAATACCTCATTTTCCACATTCAACAAAAGATTGAGAAAACTGAAGTAGCCAAGAAGAGATGGTCATCCCTCACTAGTGTTGGATTAGGTCCTCATCTCAACCTTCTTTGTAGCAAACATCCTGGCCTTAACATCCGTGGTTCGTTTTCTGGTGTGGGGAAGAATTATACTAATATTAGGGGTGGCTTGGGGTGAGGGAGAGCTGACATAATCAGAACACTTAGATAACTTGACATGGGTACAGACGGCAGTGACATCACTTCCTGTGTCTTATTCTGTACAGAGGGGAGAAGAAAAGGCTTCTCAGCCATCACCCTAAAAAAAAAAAAGGGAAAAAAAAGAAAGAAAGAAAGAAAAGAAAAAGCCACCAAGCCAGGGCTTGGCAATTAGTGCTGGAGTAAGTGATCATCTTGTGATTGCTCAGCTGGGGTCTGAAGACTTGTAAATGCATTTAGGAGACAGAAATAGAAGATGTTGTGAGAGAGCAGTGAAACCTGGCCCATTTGCCAGGAGAAAATGTCCCAAAGCTGCCGGGAAATTCACTCAGTCAGAATTTGGGGTGTGTCTTCATAAATGGGAAAAGTTAATAAACAAAACCCATGGACGGAGCCAGATCATAAGCCTCCTCCTATTGACTCTTCTGTCTGTGACCCTCAGGCTTCTCTGGAGTCCCCGTGCTGTCATCAGAGCCGCTGACTGGGTACTGACCTTTTCCCACCAACCTGAGCATCCTGATACCCCCCAGGGGGTAGCCAGACCGAAATAGGGGTGGAGTATAGTGACCCATGCCTCTCAATGATCCCCCCAAAACAAGCACTTTGGCAAGAGTGGCCAGTGTGCCCAGGAAAAATAGGGCTCAAGGTCAAAAGCAGGTTCACTGGTACCATCAGGACCCGCTCCACCCAGATCCCCCAGCCCACAACACCTTGCAAATCTTGCAAGCCCAGCCAGCCTTTGTCACTGCCCACCAACCAACAGAGCCCAAACCATCCCAAAAGAGATGTCAGGTCACAGCCCTCTTCTAGGGAACCCCAAGGGCAAGCCAAAGACACATTCTGGTACAACCTGCCACTGAGAGACACCCATAGCCCCAAATGCACCCCTGTTCCCACTTTGGTGGCCCAGAAAAACACGATGAGGCCTGAAGCCATGAGAGTTTCAGGTAACAGCATCCCTTAGAAGGTCTAGCATCTGGGCCCTGTCCTCCAAGGGGACAAATCTGCTCCCCTACTGATAGCCAACTTCCCCTAAATATGACCCTATTATACAAATGAGCACTCTGCATGCCATATTTTATCCAAGGAGTAGTTTTGTAGGGCCTATGGAGTTGAAGGGGCTTGGTTTTAGTTGCCAGCATTTAAAAATTGAGTACAGCCAGAGATATGATAATAAATAAATATATAAATAAATAAATAAWTTTTAAAAATTGAGTACTTTATCTGGATCACCACCAGCTCATTTGACAAAATAGCAAGGTCTGGGACACTGGGCCCCCACCTCCTAGTGGCAGCAGTCAGCTGGATATGTTTACTGGCTGACCCTTCAGAGGGGACATGTGGTCCCCAGCCTCTACTGTCCCCACCTGGCCTGCCATGGCATGTGGCTTTGTGACCTTGGTATGAGTTACTATGAAAAGAGAGACTTCTCAGATGTCAAAAGCTCTTTCCCTTGGGATGTTTTACACAATGAAAYTCAAATCCCCAATAAAATAAACACCTGGAACATCTGGTCCAAGGCCCTCCTTTGGTCCCAGCTATTCCTACAGCTGCAAAGAAAACACATCAGGTGACTCATGCCACAGAGACTAAAGCAGGGCAGGGGGGTAGGAAGCAAATTAGACAGTTGAAAGGGAGGTTTGGCCCCTATAGCTAATACATCTGGCCCTAAGCAATGGTCATAGAGCTTTCTATTTTCAGAGGAAGGAAAGAAAGTTTATCACAAAGCAGAGATGACCTTAACTGATAAACAAACTAAGAACTAACAACCTGCTTGGAAAAATACACTGAGGCCTGAGGGTAAGACCGGGACTCTCCAGAAGAGAAAGCAACTCCCCCACCATAATTCCCTAGGATCTTTTACCCTTTCGCCACCTATCCTGCCCTCCCCTTCCCAACAGCTTCCCTTGGAAGCATGGACTCTTCATAAGAGATTTCTAGCCAGCCACGCTGCCCTTCCAGTATCAAATGCCAATTATCAGTAAGACTCCCCAGAGGCCAAARGAAAGACTAGTCTGAATGGCCCTTCTCTGTTTTCTCCCCCAAATGCATTAGACCCACCCCACCTGCTTCCTGCAGAATCTCTGCTCTTTGGGAACACACCCATTGGATGTCCAAGCAGGTCAATGTCCATGAGGGACAGATGACCTAGACAATAAGCATGCCCCTGTGGATGCAGTGAGTTGGTGTGTTTCCCTGATCAGTCTCCTCCTTCCCAGGAATGGCAGGCTCCCACTGAATCCTGAGATCTATCAGTCCAGGACTAGGCCTGGAGAGGAAGCATCAAGCTCTGGTGATTCTACCCCCACTAGGATCTAGCCAGACCCAACCCTTAAGGAAGCCATTTCACCAATCAGACGAAGCAGAGAGGGGAGAGACTGGGTGAGAGAAGCACAGACAGACARAAATCCCACCCAAAGATGGGTAACCTACATCTTGTCCCAAACAAAGTCCTATTAACTTATACAGGTGTCTCCACTTCTCTGAGCTCTTTTCCATTGAACCTAGAATTTATCTAGACACACTTGGTCTGGTCTTGCTTTCTCTCTTCCTCCATTCCCCAATACCAAGTCCAACACACACACACACACACACACACACACACACACACAATTATGGATCTAACATGGTCTTGGAAGTGCAAATGCAAATGTCATCATGAAAAGTGTATACAAACTTGAAAGCCAGGAGATCCTCCCTCTCATCTCAGGTCTTAGACTTCTCCTTCTGATAGGAATCTTAGTCGTTATCAAATCCATTTTAAGAGACAAAACTGGAGGCTCCAAAAAGTTAAGGGCATTGCCCAAGAGCATCCAGTAGCAAAACCAGACCAAGATTTCAGGTCTCCAGTTTTGCTGCCCAGAACTGTCGCCATGTGTGCACCCCCACCTGCTCCCTGCAGCCCACCTCTACTCACATATAGCGCAAGTGGGGGTTCTTGGCAAAGGCCCTGGGCTGGATGCTCCGGAGTCCTGAATTCTTGATRGTCCTGTGCAAAAAGAAAAAGAAGATCAGCAGAGCTCCAGGAGCAGGGGTTTGCAGGATTTCAGACCCCTAAGGGTTTTCTGCATCTCTTCATCACCAATCATCCCTGATTGCATCYCTGGCCTAACTGCAGGTCTCAGTGGGAGGCCTCTGGGCTCACACCCTTTGGGAACCTGGTTTAGGACTTGGGATATGAGCAGGCAGAGCTGGCAATGGCCCTCTACCCATCCTGATCAGTGGGCAAGAACAGGAGCTCCTTCCAATTCAGCAACAACAGGGCTACAACCCTCCCTGTGCCTTCTTGTTGTCCCTACCCTGGTTCCCCAGTAGTCACTAGCTCCGAAGTCCCCTGGAGGAGGTGTATGGGAAATCTAGCACTAGATTTTTTCAAGATCAAGGAAAGGATTCTAGCCCAGCAGGCCTGGGTGCAGGGTCTGCTTTGAAACCCTGATTTCAGGGTGTGGTCACACAATCTCCGGGCTCTCTGGGCTAAGGTGAAAGGTGAGGGAATGAGGAGAACGGCCCCTGACATCCCCTAAATGGGTGGTGCCAACCCTCCCATTAAGACCCACAGTGGGGAAAGCAGATTGCAGGCATGCCTTGACTGTCACCCTTGCAAAATCAGACAGGCAGCATTCCACCCCAGGCATACTCACAGCTTTTGGAGTCCAGTGTAGAGCTCCATGTCCACGGCATTGAGTGTGTGCAGGCTGCGCCAGTTCTCTATGTGTCTGCAAGGAAGGAGAGGCACGGGTCAGGTCGGCCCGGAGCAACAGCAATGGCGCTGGCTTTATAGCCAGACCTGAGTTGGAGTCCTGGATGGGTCAAATGCGAGCTGGGCCTTCTGCCAAGTCACCAATATCTCTGAGCCTCAGTTTCTTCCTCTGCGTGGTGGAATTCATTGTGACAATGAAGCGGACTCGTGGGCTCAAAGGGCCTGGCCCATGGATGTAGCATTCAGCACCTCTCTCTTAGCTCCAGAAAGAATCTACTTTTTGGAGACATGAAACCCAACCTCCCTGCTTGTCCTTCCTGACTCAGTTTCCCTCTGTCTCCTTTCCTTCTTTTTTCCTATTTAGAATTTCCTAAGGGAAGCATTTTCTCCCTTAGCTCCTGACCAGAGAAACAATACAAATAACATGGATTATAAAAAGGAGGGAGTGGCTTGCCTGTCGGCATAGTTTCTGGGTAGAAAAGCTCAGCCAAACACATTCCTGGCTCAGGCACCCACCAGGGACTGGACACTAACAGTGACCACAGCCCAATCCAACCTGGAGCCCAAGAAAACCAATGACTCGATTTGGCAGAGCTGACTCCARAGAGGAGGAAGCTATCTAAGACCAGGGCAGCACTCTGGTATTTATAAAAAGAGTGAGAAACGAGTAGTCTAGAAGTCACATTTGAGCCTTATCTCTGAGACTTAAGTCTCAGTGGCTTTGAGCAAGTGCTCTCAGCTTTTTGGGTCTCTCATTTTTTCATTTGTAACAGGAGAGGGTTGCACTAGATCAGCAATTTCCTCCCCTTTTCAATGTCTGTCTAGAGCTTTCCCCCAAGAGACCTCGTGTTTAAGGAGGTTTGTATCTAGCAAGCACACTACATATATTAAGTAATAATTAATTCACCTCAGATTATTAATCAGAGATATAAATTGCTGTTAAGCAGAGTTTTTCAATAACAGACACAAGCCAGAGCTAATTCATCTGGTGCCTAAATTCTAGCCCAAAGCCAAGAAACTTGAAAAACATTAACATGAAAAGGCTGTTCAAAGGTATGAGTCTCATTTCTGGGTTTCCTCACATTGACAAAAATGCTAGAGACAAACACCCCTCATTGCAATTCTGGGGGTCCCCAGGTCAAAAATCATTGCTACCATATTGATTACCAAGGGCCTTTCTGGCTTTAAAGCCATGTGAAAAGCAAATGTCCATACACTCCTGCTGTCCCCAGAGAATCAAAAGATTTCAGGAAAAGGCCTTCCACTGTCCACCTTTCCCTCCAGGATTAGACCCTCTGGTCAGTGCCCAAGAGGTCTAGGTACCATCTCAGTGAAGAGTACGGAGAGGTGACAGTTCACCCTGGRACAGAGGTACTCAAGGCACACTCAGGCCAGAAAAGAGACAGCCACCTTCCCCAGACGTCTCCCCTCCAGCCTCACCACACCCATGGCTCTGCCATCTGCCACCAAGTCTAGTCACAGCCAAGAAAGCAGCAGGGCTGTGGCTGCCAGGGCCTCTGGAAGCATTTCAGAACCACACAGTGACAAGGGATGCCGAGAGCCTGTTTTGTACCACATTCTCCTAGAGACCCTGCTGACCAGCCAGAGACGCTGGCATCTGCTGGGGACATGGACCAGGTGGACAGGATAGTATTGGATTCCAAATTCAAAGTCTTCTCCCTGGAAGTCTTGTGACTCCAGGGCAGTTTGCTTGGTCTGGTCCACCAAGGCAGGGACCTTGGCAACATTTCAGATGAAAAGGACGGCCAGGGAGGGGAGGTAGAACTCCCTGTACCACCAAGTCCCCCCAGCATATTGCCTGGGCCATGGCCACGTCAATTACTAATTAGATCACAGTGTTTGTACAGAGTACCATTGATACATGGGAACCCAGTTTCCTGTAAGGATCTGCTCCCAACAAGTAGCTGTCAACCAAATTATTTAAATAGATGAAATCATTTTCTCCGTCCACATTAGCATTCCATAAATGTGTTTTATGATGGTTGAGTTGTCAATCATTATGGCATTCTAAAACTTTATTCATTTTGCCCTCACACCCCCACTCCCCCAAACTGACCCTTACCCACCTTACGCACCCTGAGATATGGGGGGAAATGAACAAACTCAATGCAAAGAGTCCTCTGGTAAATAAAGTAATGGCTCCCATTTCTTCTGATAACATCTGAGTTTCCCTAAATCAGGAAATGGCATTTTGTTTTACAGCCACAGAACAACAGCATGATTAGAAGCCAGGGCTCTAGAAAAGTGACTGGCAAACCACAGCCCAGGGGCCAAATCCAGCYCACTGTCTGCTTTGTTGTACAGGCCTAGAGCTGAGTTAAGCTTTTACATTTTTTTGTGAAAACTCAAAAAAAGAATCATATTTTGTGACCTGTGAAAACTAAGTGAAATTCAAAGTCCCACATTCATATTCACTGTCTGTGTCTCAAGTCATGACAGAGTTGGACAGTTGCTGCAGAGACAGCGTGGTCCACAAAACCTAAAACATTTACTCTGGCTCTTTAAACAAAATGGTCAGTGACCTTTACGTAGGGTCAAGCTACCAGGGCACGCAGCCCCGCCCCGCCCCGCCCCGCCCCGCCCCAGGATGACTCTACCCACAAGACCCTACCCAGGTTTCTTCCCCTGTCTGTGCCTCACTTTTCTCCCCTGTCACATGGGTCCAATAAAATACCTGCCTCATGAGAATGACATGAGGCCTGAAGGGGCGTGTTGAGGAGGCCTTGTGGGACAGGTCCTCAGGAAGCACCAGTCACGGTGACTGTTTCCTCTCATCCCGTACAGAAGCTGAGCCAGTTTCCAAGCTAAAAATGGCATCATGCTTCTGCTGCAAGTTGTCATTTCTCAGAARTCATTTGATAAAAAGCCCATGGGGCAGAAGGGTGAGGGAAACCTGTCATTCATGACCTCCAGGAAAACCGTTTGTGCAGAAATTTATAAACAGGGTCAAGAAACAACCGATGGCCACATCAGAGCAGGTTCCAAGGTGGATAGAAACAGTGAAGATGCAGCCCTGCCATTTTAGATGACATCAGCAGGCGCCTGCCAAGTTTTCTTATGACTCACTGCTTGGTCCCAGACCAGGGGGGTCAGTTATGGTAACTCTGCTGGCTGGCTTGTGCTAATAGGGAGGCCACAAGTTTAAGTGGCTCTACAAAATATAATAAATAAATGAAGAGGAGGAGGGAAGGTTTGGGGGGGGTGTGTGTGTGTTTGTGTGTGTGTGTGTGTGTGTTTTGCACTGGAAATTGAACCCAGGAGCATTCTACCACTAAGCCACATTCTCAGCCCTTTTTATTTTTTGCTTTGAGACAGGTCTTGCTAAATTGCACAAACTGACCTTGAACTTAGGATCCTCCTGCCTCCTGCCTCAGCCTCTGGAGTCTCTGGGATTACAGGTGTGTGCCACCCACMGTGCCCAGCTGTTTTGCTTTTGCTAATAGTAGAGTGGATTCTCTGTCTAGTATGATTACATATGTCTCCTCCATTTCTGTGTTTTTTCTGGGTTGTTCCAATTGTTTCCATAGAGTATTTTTGTGTGTGTGTCATTTGAAAAACATCAATAACTATACATTTTTAAAGGAAGGTCAAGTACTTGAACCCTGTGCAGAGCCACAGCTGATTGCTCTATTCCAGAACCACAGGCTGGACCAGCTTCCCCTGCAAAGGCCTCTCACAAACCCACTCCTGCTGTGCAAGCAAGAAGGCAGAAGAGCTCAGAACAATGATGGGAATGTGGCAGAGTGCATGACGCTGGTTGACCCCACAGACCTGCAGCCCAGTTCTCATCTGGATGTCCCTGTTTCAACCATGGGCAGGGAGAGGAGGGGTGGAGAGAGAGTCAAGAGGTGGCACACCAGTATCCCTCTCCTGCTTTAAATCAACAGCCCCTACTTTAAGGTCTTCACACAGTGATCTTCAAAAGGAGGAAATTTTGCCTTCCAGAAGACCTTTGGCTATGTCTGGAGACATGCTTCATTGCCACAACTGGGGGAAGAGAGTAACACTAGTATCTTGTGGGTAGAGGCCACAGATGCTGCTAAACACCCTGCCACAGACAGGACAGCCCATGACAAACTACTGGCCCCAGAAGTTCACAGCTCTGAGATGGAGAGGCCCTGCCTTATTATATCCAGCTTCTGCCGAAGATCAACACTGATGCAAGAGTCCCAGGGCTTGAGATGACATCAATTTTGAAAATGACTGCTTTGCACAAGCAAATACTAGGAGGCCTCAAGCCAAAACAAAGAAGCCTGCTTCTAGGTCACTGAGTCCAAGGTAAGAGAAAAAAAAACACAGAGCCATGGTTTCCATGACACTCTCAAGTCAAGGGCATTACTTGAGGGAAAATGAGGGGCTCTCAGGCCCTCTGGGCTGTGCCCCAAGGCAGGCTACACATTCCAGAAGCAATAACAGTCTCTGGAAGGGATACACTGAACAGCCTTTCTCCTCCACTGAAGGTTCCTCTCCTGAATTCCCCGGGACTCTTCATTCTGCAGAAATGAAAAATATTCCATCCACAGAGCCAATCTAATGTCCTGTCCCCATTTTCTTGCCATTACACCACAGAATTGCTACCCTGCCAAGAGTCTCGATGCACCCCTCTTCCAGAAAGAGGGAGGAAGTGAGGTACAATGTCAACCTCCAGAGCCGGGCTTTGGGCTGCAGCTCAGAAACCCTGGTGAAGTCAGTGAGCACCTCTGCCATCAAAGAACAYGATGCCTCTGGTGGACTCGAGTGGGAGGGAGTGAGGAGATGGCTAGGCAGAGCCTCTTTAGAAGTCTTCGAGAATCTCGGGAAACAGAGCCACTCTCCTTGATTCACAATAGCTACACAGAGACCCAGAGACCCCAGGCCACAGGTTCCTGCTTCAAACCCATTTTTGGAATAGGACATGGCATAAATTATTAATTGATACATCCACAGAGAACACAAAAACCCTTTGTGCTAGAATAAATTAGGTTGTACTTTTGTAGCACAGCTCTCTCTTCCTCT